AAAACACATGAGGGTGTCTTCCAAAGAGCAGGTGCTTAGAAGGAGAAAGCTGCAGCTGGAAGTAGACCTCCTAGCAGAACCCATGTGCTGGCCACAAAGGAAAATTCCAATGGTGCTATATTATTCCCTATGGAAGGTGTTCAAAAGTCTGCCGAGCCAGGGGATTGCAGCACCCGTATAGGCAAGTACAGCCTGTGTAGGCAAAAATATCATCAGGCAAATTATGCTTCTTCACAGACCTAAAGCTACTGAGTCAAGCATTGAAAAGACGCCATTATCCACTATTTGTATGACATCTTGCCAAAACTTTCCAAAACCAAGAATCTTCAGAGTTTGAGCAGATAAAGCTGGCTAAAGAGGTTCACATGTTGAAAATCATCTTGGGCAGGGGCTTGGATTCGATCTCCTGCAGTCTCTTCCAATCCTGTGATTCTATCAATCTTTGCAACACTATTTGGTCACTACCGATGGGTATAAGCCTAGCATGGGAGGGGTTCCAGAGAAGACTCACTCAAGCACTGGAAGGACTGCTTGGAGAGAAAGTAATTGCAGATGACATCCTCGTTGTAGGCCAACAATGATGCAGAAAGGCAAGGAGACCATGACAGAAAACTTCAAGCTTTTCTACAGCCATTCAGGAGCAAGAACATAACACATAACCCAGACAAAATGCAACTCAAAACAGCACAAGGCAACTTACATTAGCCCAGATCAGGGCAGTCTATGACATGCCAGCGGCAATGGAGGTGAGAGAGTCACAGAGATCCACGGGAATGAAGATATTTTCGGTTCACGTTCTGTGCATACCCTGACTGTCAGAATCGATGTGTCGGCTCACCAGGCAGGATGTTGAGTGGAGTTGGAGAAGTTCCCAATAATAAGCCTTTGGCACGTTGAACAAGTGAGAGAAGAGACTCCTGTCCAGAAGTGTGGCTAGTCAGGAGAGACATGGCCATGCCAGGGTCATGCATCAGTGAAGGACTGGCTGCAACTCTTGATCAGGAGCAGCTGGTCATGGTTGCCAGCAGAACCCTATCAGAGCCCTAACAAGGGTCTGCCCACTAGACAGAGCTTCTGGCAGTGGTATTTGGAGTGGAAGGACTCCGTCAGTGCACGACCAGCCACCTAGTCATAGTGCAGCCATACCACACCCCTCTTCAGAGTGCTTCAAAGACACTGCGACATTTGATGCTCCTCTAGTGCTACATTACTGGGATCAGCTCTTGTCCAGGATGGTGTCTGATGAGAACGGACACCCTGAGCAGAGAATATATACCCAGCATCAGCCAGCCTGGGGGAAAGGGATCACGGCACTGAATGAAGCAAGCTATCTTCCAGTTTCAACAGTCAGACTGACAGTAATCAAAGAGGCTACTGGGAAGGGCAGCCACAGAGAAGGGGGGCGAAGGAGAAAAGCCAAGGACTGGTACAGGTTGAACCTCTCTCATCTGGCACCTTCAGGGCCAGACCAGTTCTGAACAAGAGTTTTCCTGACCATGGGAAATCTAGCAGCATTACCAACACTTCTACTGCTTACGGTGCTGTTAAGGGACAACTAGGGGTACTTTAGAGCTAAACAGCAACACAGAACACTGAGAGCCAGGACAGGCAGCTGTAAACGAACTTTATGGGACCACGGGAAACTTGGCCATACCCATGAAAAGTGGACATCTGGCTAGCTCCAATCATTCTGGATGATGGATGTGTCTGGATACGAGAGGTTCAACTTGTAGTAGCAGAACTGCATTTTCAAATTAAAGATGAGCAGAGCCTGCAGAATGCAATCATATTTCGGCAACAGAGAGCTGTTGCCTCGGCTGTGTTAGCAATCCATGTCTCACATTGGCATTCCACTCGGATTGGAGAGCGCATTTGCCAGCTAGGAAGGAATGCATAGATCTGCCTTTTGATGGAAGGGTTGGACACTTTCCACTCATGTGATAATGACCAGCAGAAAGAGACTGACCACCCAATGGCCACAACTGATGATGGGAAACATGGGAGTGGAATTATCTACCATCAAGGAAAAGCAGGACGTCATTCCAGTGCACTCCTATTCAAAACGTTATGTCAGCGATGGCCTGCCTGATATAAGAAGTCAGTCAGTATTTGGCCAACAGAATGCCCACCTTGTGCTGCTGACAACCATTCCCTGACAACAGATCCCAATTTGCCTTGGAATAATTCAGAGAATTTGCATGCCATTGGAAGTTGATCACCACACCTCCTCCCCAGCACACCTACAGAATAACGGCAAGATAGAGTCAACGGTGGAGGGGGGAAAAAACTAAGCAACTGTTAGCCAAGGCTGTTTCTTCTGTTTCAGACTCCTAATAAGCATTTTGGCCCACAGGTATACCCTATCACAGGCATAGCAAAACAGTCCAGCACAGGCGCTGGTGGGGTGAAGGACCAAACCCCCGCGCCGAGAGAGGGAGAGATGTTACACTGCCAAGAGGAGATGTAACTTAGGGAAAAAATCAGGCCCTGGAGTACAATGGGTCAAGCAAAGGATATACCAGCCTGAAGGCACACTGGAAGGATTGGCCTAATAGAATCTCCAAGGGCACAGCAACATCCAGGTCATACAAGGTGACTACACAAGATTCCTAAGCAACCCAAAGGACCAGCAAGCACTTACAAGCCAGCAAACACGACACCATGCTGAGATCGTCACAGAACAGAGCCCTAGAGCTGTGCGGAGGCTGGCCCCATGAGGAAAGAGAAAAGGAGACTCGAGAGGGAGAGGGAGAGGGAGAGGGAGATTGGACTCCTTACCAGGAGAACACATTGGGATTGACTTCTCTCTGTCTCCCTATCATCCACCTCCGAGTCTAACCAGCCAACTCTCAAAGACAATGTGGCGGAATCTGTGCTAATGACAAGACTCCGACTAGCAGCTGCTGGCTACAACTGCTGGCATGGGTGGGGACCCTGAGCCTCCATACTGGTTTTGAACTAGAATATTAAAAAGTCTGTAAAATACGGACCACGTATTGTGATCAACGGGACAGAAATCAGCCTATGTCTGTTATTGTTGAGATGTCGAGAAAACCAGGACTGAGGAGTTAGGCAGGAAGAAACTCAGCTGTCTAGACAGCTGCACACTTGTTCAGCCTGACCTGCATTTAACGTCACACTTTGGGAATGAAACACCAGGAACAGGCGGTGGGGAGGCAGAGCCTTGGTTAGTTGCCCCTTCCCTCCTCAACTGACACAGCCGAGGTGCCATGGGGATGGCAGAATTTGCAATTGTTACAGGCCACTAGCAAGTTACTCCACCACCAGAGCAAGGTGGAACCAGGATAGGAGTCACGCCCCACAAAGGTGTTTTGCAAGCATTGAAACTTCTGGGGCTACTCATAGGAGGATGCCGCAGCTCAGGAATGAGGATGGTGAAAGTCTTGCCGTAGGCAATATACGTCCAGGGCCATTAGGCATCTGATGGAATTCTAGAAGAAACCCCAGAGTTTACACCAACATAGCTCGGATTTTCAACAACAGGTGCTGAAATCCCATTGCAACACGAACAAGGCAGTTAACTCTTCTAGGTCTTTGAAAATGCCAAGAGGTGTGTGTAGAGTCTCTCCTTAGTTTTCTTTTATCAAAAATACTACTTAGTTTTTCTAAAAAAAAGATAGTCATAGAAGGAGAAAGATAAAGGTCCATTCTTTTCTGAACGGAAGATTTTTTTTTTTACATTCAATTATGTCATGCAGAGATCAAACCTCATACAAGATTCTGATCTTGCCTCATTTTTATTCAGCATTCAAATGACCCCAGGGCAGTTCTTGTATTATGCGGTCAGTAAATGCTGTATCAGTTACACATAACATTCGAGAGAGCTGTGAACCCACTTGAGAGACAGCTGAGTGTTTTATTAGCTTTCATTTAGGATCCAAAACTCAGGCTGAATTTTGCAATACTTCTGAACATAGGAAGGGCCAGACCGGGTCAGCCCAAAGATCCATCTAGCCCAGTGCCCTATTTGCCCACAGTGGCCAATGCCAGGTGCCCCAGAAGGAATGAACAGAACAGGGAATCAAATGATCCATTCCCTGTAGCTCATTCCCAGCTTCTACTTAACAGAAGCTAGGGACACCATTCCCACCCATGGATGGACCTATCCTCCATGTATTTATCTAGTTCATTTTTGAACCCTGTTTGAGTCCTGGCCTTCCTCAACATCATCTGGCAAGGAGTTCCACAGGTTGACTGTGCACTGCATGAAGAAATACTTCCTTTTTTGTTTGTTTGAAACCTTTGGCCTATTAATTTTATTAAGTGACCCCTAGTTCTTGTGTTATGGGAGAGAGTAAACAACTTTTCCTTATTTCTTTCTCCATACCAGTTATGATTTTATCATTCTATCATATCCCCCCGGTTGCCTCTTTTCCAAGCTTCAAAGTCCCAATCTTATGAATCTGTTCTCATATGCCACACCCCTCATTATTTTTGTTGACCTTTTCTGATCCTTTCCCAATTTCAATATCTCTTTTGTTTCATAGGAGGCAACCACATCTGTACACAGTATTCAAAATGTGGGCACACCATGGATTTAGGTAGAGGCAATAGGCTATTTTCTGTCTTATTTTGTATCCTTTTCTTAATGATGCCTCACATTCTGTTGGCTCTTTTGACTGCTGCTGCACACTGAGTGGATGTTTGCAGAGAACGCTCCACACTGACACCCAGATCTCTCTCTCGAATGGTAACAACTAATTTCTGTAGACGGGTAAAGGTAGTTTTGCATGAATTGTACACGTGAGCCCCAACTTAATGAGTTTGCAGAGTTCCTACCATTATTGTTTCCTGTGTATGCTATGTAGATTATAAAGCTCTATCATGAGCCCTGCGCTGTTACTGCACAAAGAGATTAAAGGCAGACCTACCATGCTGCCAATGCTCATCTCAGACTCAGGTTTGAGCTACACACATCAGTCTGACCAAGTTAGTAGCCAGAGACTTCCTTGCCTCGGGGGGCTCTGGATGTTCCTTACCTGTGGTGCAGACTCTCAGTGGGCACAGGCATGCCAGTCCATGGGTCTGTTCCCTATCCCAGGGCTTGGACTCTCAGCCTGCAGCAGCAGCTTGCACCTTCTCCAGCAGCTCATGCTGGCCCTCCTCAAAAGGCAGAGACGACATCCCCTTGCAGGTGAGCTGGAAGCAGGAGGTCGGTGTGCGAACACCTACCCACTCTGTAGCCAGCCAGGAGGCTTCGGAGTCGGGGGGAGATGCCAGGTACTCTTCTTTGCTCATCCCCCTGCCGATCAGGGCTCTAAGGCCAGGGCCAGCCTTTGCGGATGAATTTAGGAGTAGGAGCCGCAGACTAAGTCTTTTGGAAACAAGAACCATCTTTTCTTCTGCATTGGTATGTCTCATATCACAACTGGCCTCTGGCCCATGAGGGGCACTGGGGTAATACAGATACAGAGCAACAAGCTGAGACTATGGGTCCAGTTTTCAAATGTACAAGTGTCAGACTTAGTCATAAAGCCCCTGGAAACCATTGGTCTGCAATGAACTTTGGATCCAAGCCTGCAAGAGATTGTCCTCACTCTGCATTTGCCACTCAGGTTCATCCTTAGGCCTGCATTTGTTCTAATGCCAGGGTTCTGCCTTATTTACTGCCCTTCCTGCCCCACCACTAGTAATTGTCCCTTTCTCTGTTAACATCTCGGTCATCAGAGATAAATATGTTTTCTCTCATAAGAACCACAATACTGGGTCAGACCAAAGGTCCATCTAGCCCAGAGTCCTGTCTGCTTATAGTGGCCAATGCCAGATGCACCAGAGGGAGTGAACACAACAGATAGTCCTCACGTGATTCCTCTCCTGTCATCAACTTCCAGACAAACAGAGGCTTTCCTACCCATTCTGGCTAATAGCCATTGATGGACCTAACCTCCATGAATCTATCTAGCTCTTTTATGAACACTGTTAAAGTCCTGGTCTTCATCACATCCTCTGGCAAGGAGTTCCACAGGTTGACTGTGCACTGCATGAAGAAAAACTTCCTTTTGTTTGTTTTAAGCCTGCTGCCTATTCATTTCATTTCAGCATGTTGCACATCCCTTGCAAGGCTTTGCATAGGCCAGCATGCATTGCTGACCAGGATATACCACGCTTCTCTCTGAATCCAGTCACTGACTTATAGAAACATGATAAATGCATTGCAAAGGGGAGCATGCGCAAAGCTTGCCAAGGGAAATTACAGACCACGGTCGAAATCTTCATCTGCGCCCAACCTGGCAGAACGCCGGTCAGCTTCCAAACTGGGAACAAAAGTTTGGTGGACACTCAGAGTCTATGGAGCACATGGGGAGAAGCTATTCCCATTGCGTGTGGAAGCATGGGGCCTGTAGCAATGTATTTATCACTCTCACTCAGTCAGGAGGAGCATGAGAATCGCAGACATCATTCCTTGGGATAACATGGTCTGGGCTGAGCATCCTTCCTTCAGTCTCCCGGAAGGAATCTATGTTTAAAAACAAAACAAAGAACAATATTTAGCTTCCCTGCTACTGCCATCATAGAATGCAAGGGCGAAGAAGATAAACATGTCAGGCTACAACCTGGGTATTAATAAGGTCTTATGCGTCAGCTTTTTTTTTTTTTTTTTAAAGGAGATAAAGTGGGTGAGGAATTTTTTTTTTTAGACCAATTTCTGTTGGTGAAAGAGATAAGCGCTGAAGCTACAGAGAGCTCTTCTCTGTTACCCAACCCGAGAAACTCTTTACGTTATTGTTCGACCACACCCTATCATTTTTTTCCCGTACTGCGGTAATTCTACCCTCAATGAACGTTGGAATGATCCATTTGTACAGGCTGTTTCATGGCTCCTCTTATTCATGTTAGCAATGACACCCAGTAGGTATTCATGGCAACCTGCAGTCAGGACAGACCATTCTGTGATGTTACAGTCAGAGGTCTTGTAATCTTGCACAACACGCTGAGGTCTCCTGAAATCCATTTTTTTGGTAGTATCACTTTTTGGAGCACCTTGTGATCTCCCGGCCTACGATCATACGCAGGTCATCCACTCATGGGAAGTGTTTTTAATCCTATGGCCTTGTCTGGCTTTGCTAAAACCTTACAGGCCTCAGACTACAGGCCTCGAATTCCAGACATGCTCCACTTCCACCTCATACACACACGCCACCCCTAAATACTTATTAGTTTTATTCTTCTCAAATCCTACAACTTCAATCTATTCCGCTTACATGGATCATCTAAGAGATAGCACATGAATTGACAGGAATGCTACATAATGCCATGATAAATGGATAAAATGAAATCGAGTGGCTACAGTATTCTTCCTTGCCCTTCCCCACCTTGCAGCTCTTCCTGGAGCACGTTTAGCCATTCTGTCAGAACAGCGTGACGGATGGCAGATCGAGGAGCAATGCTTCTCACGTTGCAATAGGGGTGGTCTAGGTTGGAGACTAGGAAATAAGATTTCCCTAGAGGGTGGTGAAGCTCTGGAATGGATTGCCTAGCAAGGGGGTGGAATCTCCATCCTTAAAAACCTCTAAGTCCCAGCTGGACAAAGCCCTGGCTAGGATCATTTAGTTGGCACTGGTCCTGCCTTAGGCAGGACTTGATGACCTCCTGAGGTCTCGTCCAACCCTACGATTCGATGAAAAATATCACCCACTCATTAAACAAACACCTGGACAAGAGTGACATAGCTAACATCTATTTATTTTCCTCCGTATTTAGTATTTCTTTCTTTACTCTTTGAAGGTTCCTCAAAAGCATAGATTTGTGGCTTACACATCAAGGGGAGAGATACCGTCTCAAATGAAAGCTACGAGAATCAAGGGTCTCTTCCCATTTCTACTAACAGGAATGTTTCCTAAAAGCAGGAATTGAATGTGGCTGTGTCTACACTTACGATGGTGGGAGGGTATATGCAGTAGCTGTAGCCACATGCTGTAGTGAAAGGCAGGTCACATCCACTCTTGCCCCTGAGGTTAGGTGCTGCACACAACAGTGAAATGCTTTGGCAACTGGCTTTAAGTACAGACATACGATCAGAGTCAGCCTACCTGTAGCTTGCACTGAAATCAGGAAGGGCCAATCCATCTGCCCTGTAGCCAGGGCGGGGCTGTCCTGTTGCCTTCAAGGGGATTTTAGACTGCGGCCTATGCTAAGAGACATAATCAGTATAGAATCTATGGATGTCACCACACTGTAAAAGCTTGAGTTCAGAAGGATGTCTCAGGCAACAGATTCAGACACAGGAGCCATAGCTAGGCACCTATAGAAAAGCCAGTTTGCAAGAGTGATGCACACCCAAGTCAGTTCAAAGTACCCAAGCACAGACCCCTGCAGTTTGAGGTACAGGGGCAATGCCATTAACACTGCACCAGGAGTAAATGGTTTTCCATTAATTGACCAGCCAGTGTGTTGCTGCACACATTTGCCAACATGTTGCATGGTGCAATTGTCTTCGTGAGTTAGGAGCATAACAATTAGGAGACTGAAAGAATCAGAGTTGTAGACTACTAGAACTGGAAGGGACCTTGAGAGGTCATCAAGTCCAGCCCCCTGCCCGCACAGCAGGACCAAGCACCATCTAGATCATCCCTGAGAGGTATCTATCTAACCTGCTCTTAAATATCTCCAGAGATGGAGATTCCACCACTTCCCTTGGCAATTTATTTCAGTCGTTAATCACCGACAAGTAGGAAGTTTTTCCTAATGTCCAACTTATATCTCCCTTGCTGCAATTTAAGCCCATTGCTTCTTGTCCTAACCTCAGAGGCCAAAGAAAACAAGTTTTCTCCCTCTTGCTTGTAACTCCTTTTTAGGTACTTGAAAACATGTCCCCTCTCAGTCTTCTCTTTTCCAAACTAAACAAGCCCAATTCTTCCAGTCTTCCCTCATAGGTCTTGTTTTCTAGACCTTTAGTCATTGTTGTTGCTCTTTTCTGGACACTCTCCAATATCTCCATACTGTGTTTTGATCTTGCAAGAGCATTGATCTTTCAAGAACTGGTGACCTACACCAGTGGTCCCCATGGTGCCCGGTGGGGCATTTATGTGTGCCTGCCAAATGATATGGGCCGACCCCGCCCCTGGGCGAGTGCCACATATGTGGCCCCTGCCCCGGGCGTGCGGCACATGTGAGGTGCCAGCCCCAAGAGCGCGGCGTGTGAGCGGCCCCGCCCCCGGGTACCCGGCAGCCCCGAAAGATTGGGAACCACTGACCTACACCATCAGAGAAAGGGCTGATAGACAGCATTCTAAGGAAAATGACTGCTTCTAACGTTGAGAGCAGCTCTTCTTGAATACGTCTACACAGCCGTGTAATTTTGGAATAACTGACGTTATTTTGAAATCAAGTGCGCATCTACACAGCAGCCTTCATTTTGAAATAATGTCAAGCCGGAGGACTTTTGCCTTGCTGTGTAGACGTGCCCGCCTGTCCCTACCGCAGCTAAGAATGTATCACGCGCTCTAAGTGCAGAATGTACATGCTGGAGAGGCATTTCCCGGGACCACAAAAAGGAACACTCTGACACTCGCTGCTATAACAGTGTAATAGTCTCACTTTGATTCTCTGCCATCAGAGTGTCAGGATTTTCCTATTCGAGACCGTCCCTAAATACAAAAGATGAAAAAGTTCCTTCCTGGAGGGAAATAAAGGAACTTAGACATTGGCACCAGCAATATATCTTCCAGTAATATCATTCACTGCAGCCCAGGAGAAGCAAAGCCAATTCAGCAGTAAATCTGAAAACATTTATTATTAGACAAACCATAGCATCAGGAGGATGGACAACACCTCTAGGTATACCCTACGGTTACAGCATTCCAGGACAAGAGACAGATATGAAAAAAATCCTATTGAAGCTAGACCAAGGGTTTTTTTTTAAATAAATCCAGAGTGATACAAACATATAGAAACTGAAGGACACGTGCTTATGACACCCTTGCCAAGAGACAATGCAGCGTATTAACTCTGAGACAGAATCGAGTCCAGATGGACTAGAACAAGAGTGACACGTGAATGAGACAGAGAGAGGGAAGCGCTCCTACAGCAGCTGTGTTAGAACATAGCAGGGAGAAGGCTGCTCGGAAGTGTGCATTAATAATCAGCAAATGTGGTGCAGAGTAACCAGGAAGCACTTGAAATCGATAACCAAAGAGATATCGAACAGGATCATTACTCAACTCTCCTTCTAGGGACAGGACTGTAATTATTCATAATCTTTTTGACTCTGTATTATTGATGGTTTTCAATCTATTGATGAGCCTCAGAAGTCAAGTCCCTGAGAATTTTAACCCTCAGGCCTGCCATAAGACCAGGCAGGTCAACTTAAGATACGCTATCCAGCTACGCAAAAAAAAAAAAAAGATTGCAAAAGAAAGCTAACGGTTGTGGT